GGGACATAGAGGGAATTATATGAAAATAGATTACTGTAACAATACCCTTTAAGCCCAAAGCATGTTTTCTCTTTTAGAATGTTATAGGTGTATGCAGTAATTGTAGAGAGATATAATATTAAGATAAAACAAAGTTTTAAAAAAAATCAGGTGTACAATAATTATTATACATTCATTATAAAAATAACATAGAGTGAAAATTACCCCTAAAATGAATAAAAGTTATCCATATGCATAAAAGTAACCCATTACAAATAAAAATTATCTACACTTTATTAGTAAATAATTACATTTTAAATGACTAAAATTAATTATTAGTGATTGAATGTAATTAAATCACCTTTATAAAACTTTTTTGTTGTCTATTTATATAAAAATTATATTAGGTTTATAGTTATCCAAAAAAAAAAAGCTACAAGTTACCCTTATATTGCTCGATATACACTAATATTAATGTAAACCGGGTGTATACAAAAGTTTTTGTAATTTTTATGAATAACATAGGAACATTTATATTCCCAAAAAAAAATGTTCTTTTACATATTTGCCCCTATTTGATTTCAAAAGCCTTAAAACAGTCTCATGAATTCTCTAAATTGATTAATATTTTATATATAAATAAATAGTTTTATTTCAATAATTAAATCCATCTTTTACTCTCTTCATTTCTTTTTGTTTTTCCTATTTGTAATTAAAGAGGCTTTTAATTAATTTTACTGGAGTACAAGAATTATGTAATTGTGAGATGTCTTGTTTAATTTAATCAATCTGTCCCAATACTTAAAATTTATTAGACATTTATTTTTGTAGAACTCGATATTTTTTTTATGTTCTCTTGCTAAACAAAAAAGTAGATTTACTAAAATCTTGAACATTGCACAGCTACATAACATATAATCCATTAATCACCTATATACCTGTAGACACCAAATTTTGATCCCCTATTTTCCATAAATTTTTTTTAACTTTCAATTAACTAATAAATTTCGTGTAATTTCATAATTATGATAACAAATTTAATTTTGCTAACGACAACCGCAATAATTAGACATAAGAGACAAATTCAAGTAGTGTTTATTTATAATTTTGGAGTATACAAAACCCTTACAATTTGTACTCCTAATTTACGAACAAAACACGAGGTTAATTTGTAGCACAACTCGAACCTTGTACACTTCGTGCCGGAAACTTCAAGTCGTCATTTATTCATGATTATGAAACTCATTAACGCCATTAGTAGCACCACTAACGCCATAATCAAAGCTAAATATAAATTTTGCACTCGAAAATGCTCGTCGAACGGAGATGGGGCTTGACGGTTTTGGTTACCGGGAGCCATGGAAACCGAAGAGGAAAAGGCAAGGGGTGTGTTTTTTTTTGGGTAAAGGGTGATTTCGGATAAGGGAAATCTCCCTTATAGGGGATAAATCTTATCCGTATTCTTATCATATCCCAATTGTGTAACCGCTTAGTCTATAATAGTAGTAAGTGTATCTTTTACAAATAAAATAAAATAAAAACAATGTTGTTACCACTGACGTATGTAATAATTATGTCGTTTGACATATCCTAGTCAAGAGTATCAAATATTAACCCTTTAATCTGTACAATTTTAAAACTGTGATCGTTTTTATAGTATCACTCTCTAAACCCGGATGAAGTTTAGCACTACTGATTTCATGTATCCTATTGTTATTATTACTCTAATATTTTCAATCACCTTTTAATATATAATTAATTAATGAAAAAAAAAAAAGAATTTAAAAATGTGCATGAAAATATGCATGCATACAATTACCAATGCTAAAGTCACGGTTTAATAACAATGATAAGATAATAATAAATGACAATCACTAAAACACAAAACATGCATGTAATGCATGCATGGTAATTGGCAATTGCCATAAGTCACGGCTCCCTTTGTATTTTTTTTTTTTTATTATTATAACTTGTTTTAGTTCCACCATTTTGCATTGCTTTGTTAATAACGTAATACTACTACTTCATATTTCATCTTCTTCCTTCCTTTCAACTTCCCACCAAAACACCATTACCATTGTACCTTCATGAGTCATATTTTCTCTGTTTCATACAATAAAAAATAACAAGTGTAAGTATGCATGCTATTTCTCGTCATGGTTATTGCAATGACGTCAATATTTGACATTGAAAGAGTGACTCTAAGCAAAGATACCTCTGCCATTACCACTCATTTGATATGTCAAATCTCTGCAGAAAAAGAAAACGGTAAGCCATGTTGGTAATTTAGCAACGAAAATCAGAAAATAGTGTGATATGACAATACGTTGTATCACTGAGTTGTGTTTCTTCCCAAACGGTAAGGTGATATGACTACCCACAATCAATAGCAAACAACATTTTTCTCCTTGTTATTTTCTGATAAGTTGGTTTTGCAATAGTGTGATTCTGCTAATGGTAAGTCTGAAATACGAAGAGTAAGCACAAGGAAATACACTATTCAAATGGAAGTAGTACCAATTAACCATTGTATTAAAATTATATTGGTACTTTTAATTATTTTAAGTCATTAATAATATTGTCTTTTGTTCAGTCAATAGTATTTAAGTTTTACATAAAGTAGTAGGCTATTCTATTTGTCCTCTACCTCATTAAGACGAATTTTGGTTACAATTTCTACCTAACTCTTGTATTCGTAGGTATTTATTTTGTATAACAGTATATTCTTTGTATTTTGTATTTTAGCTCCCATTTGCTCCCATATATATACCACCCCACTCTTCACAAGAAAAAACGGAAAAAAAGATCGAAGAGAACAACTAAAAAAAAAAAAAAAAAACTCATAAAAGAAGTCTAAATTATTTCAGCACTATTATTAGATTAAAAAAAGTAATAAAATTTTTTTATTTTCGGTATATATATATATATATATATATATATATATATATATATATATATATATATATATATATATATATATTGTAGAAAGACTTGGCCTAAAATTAAATCGATCATTTTAACATTACCTTGATTAATTCCTCAAGATAGCTACTCAAAGCCAAAGGTAATATCTTCTTTCTTTTTATTTGTGATTTCATATTGTTTTTTACATACATTTACTAACTTTTCTACTTTTGTGTGTTCCATAACCTCATAGGGCATTATATGTGCCAATTTCCTAATTTGGAAACCAAGTAGAATTTGACTGACCGCGAGTAAGTTTGAGAGTGAGTATACATGGTTTGTTTGATTTTTTTCTTGTATGTATCATCATTATGTAGAGTATGAAATGGAAGTAATGATAATTGTACAAAATGCATAAGGAATCTCCAAAGAATGAATGATGGAATTCTAGCAAGATAGCAATTTCGACCACTTTATTTTTTATTATGTAAAAAATCGTTTTTCATAATAAAATTAAGAAATAAAATGTTTACAGTAACTTTATGTATTTAGGAGTGTATGAGACTTGGAATTTTATAAAAATAAATTTTAACCAACCCACAAAAAATCAGACATTAAGGCTTAGTAATACCATAAATTTCTTACTACAGGTCTGTCCATTCTCCAATTTCGACCAACATTCTTTTTTAGGGGTGAAAGTTCGGTTTGCGGTTTGGATTATAGCCAAAACGGAATCCAATCCGAATTAATTTGGTTTCGAAAATCTCAATCCGAATCCAAACCGAATTAATTTGGTTTCGAAAATCTCAATCCGAATCCAAACCGAATTAAAATTCAATCCAATCCAATCCAAACCGAATTAATTCGGTTTTTCAAATTAGAATCCAATCCAAACCGAAATTTGTTCCCTTCTTTTGCAACATTCAAATCTGAAACTCGAACTTCACCCTGAAAATTCCTACAATCATTCCATGTTAACTACATTCTTTGTGAGAGAGTAAGATATTGAGAAATGAGAATTGAGAATTAGGTTCTTTTTTTAAGTTTATATATGAAAGGGGAAAGTGGTTGGATACTTTGAAAAAGAAAATGGGTTTAAAGTATTGGGTCGAAATTCAGTTTGTAATTCGATTTTCGGTTTTTTTAAACCCCAAACCGAATCCAATCTGTAATCTATATTTTTTAATTTTTCCAATCCGATCCAATCCGAATTCAAAAAAATACAAACCGAATTACTAATTTGGTTTGGTTTTCGGTTTGGTTCGATTTTAATCCGAATTACTTTCACCCCTATTCTTTTTTAATAATAAAATTTGAATTGACTACCTAGAAATTAGGTTCCTTAAGCTTTATAAATTGCGGTCACATGTTCTCATAGGATGAATACTCTATTTTTAATGATTTTGACAATACTAGGTATTAAAATGTCAAACTGATTAGAGGCTTTTTTCCCAACCAAGAATACTTTTTTTATTTGGCAAATCAAATGACTTCTAAAAAAGGAGAATTTTCTACAGAGCATCTGAATGTTTGTCCTTAACATACCATTAAAAGGATCATGCTAATTTCGAAGTACTTTGACCATTATCACCCAATTCCCCATGAACGTCCCAAACCGGAGTGTTGTTACAGAAAATTCATTATCATTCATTTCAACCGTTGGATGAATCCCAATTTTTTATATGTTATAGAAGACTTGTGTACCTTTCCAAAGACCTATCATATGCGCAAATTCGATCGTTAAAACATGAGTTATGGTGTCCGAAATATTAGAGACACTTTAAACCCTTACGATATTTAAGGAAGAATAGAATGAACATTATTATATAATTTGTGTCACCCTATTATATATACCTCTGGTATTTTTTTAAAAAAAATATTTTAATTTAAGTCATTTGAGGAAGCTATAATGCCTCAAGTTGATATTAATTAGGGGTGAAAGTTCGGATTTCGGTTTGGATTATTGGCCAAACCGAATCCAAACCGAATTATTTCGGTTTTGGATTTTTGGAACCGAATCCAACCGAATATGGATTGGATCCAATCCAATCCAAACTGAAATAATTGGGTTTTCAGAAATGAATCCAATCCAAAACGAATATTTGTTGGGCTGTCTATTTGGGCCTAAAAAATTGGGCCTATTGTTTTGGCCCTTAAAATAGCTTAATATTTGCCAAAATTAGGATATAGCATAATAGAAAAAAAAAAAAAAAAAAAGACCAGCCATTAGAATAAATTTTCAAATTACAAAAGTCTTAAAAATGCAATAAAATTCAACTAATAAATTCAACATGGCACATGGCAGCTTCAACATAGCAACAGATTCAACATAATGGCGGCAGCTTCGGCATCTTCAACTCTTCAAACCTTCAAAGAGTTTATACTGCATAGAACATACATGTCACTAAGGCATTGATATTTGAAAGATTTACTATGGCCATATATAGAGAAGTAAAAAAGCTTGAATACATCAAACTTAAATTCATATAAACACCTAAGAACAACATATAATACAACAAACTTAAAAATCAGAACAACATATAATCTAACTTAAAGTTCCAAACTTAAAATACAGAACAACCCAACCAAAACAATTAAATTAAAGTATTAATTATGATATATAACAATAACAGCAAATTTGGGACTAATAAAAAACAGAAAATCAATCAACAAAATTAAGGCTCATAAATCAATTGAACATAACAGAACATCATATATGCATGCTTTTCGAACCGAACACAACTATTCACTAACTCAAACATAATATAACAAAATATCATTATAGTATTCACCAATTGACAAAGAAAGTTAGAAACAAAGGAATATCACCAAGTCGAACAGAATATAACATCAAATTCCCAATTCAAACAGAATAAAACATCAAATTCACCAATATAATTCGAAGAGAAGCAGGAAAAGAGGAATGAAATAAGAATTCTTACCTTTGAGTGACTGAGAGAGGTAGTGGCGGAGGAAGGTGGTGGCGCGCCGCGGATTTGAGGGAGTACGAACACCGGATCTGACGGAAGGAACTGAGATACGAACAAGGAAACACCGGAACTGAAGGAATGAACTGAGATATGGTGGTCGGAGTGAGGTGATGAGGGACGAACTGAGGAACTGAAGGGTTTTGGTGAGGAACTGAGGAATGAAGATGGGCGAAAGTCAGAAAAAATGAAGGAGGAAATTAGGGTTTGCTATATATATGTAGGGGAATTGGACTGGAAATCTCGATGGGCTTAAATATTTCGGTTTTCAGTTTTTTGGCACCGAATCCAAACCGAAAAAACTGATCCGAATTTCTAGTTCGGTTCGGTTTTCGGTTTTTGTCCAAACTACTTCCACCCCTAATATTAATCCAAAAAAGAGACACATATGTATCACTTTAAGACTAACACTTTTATTTAAAAAAGGTTTTCTTCATCCTATGGCTATATGAAAGGAGCATTTTAAATAATTCATTTAGTTTGGAATAGAATGTCTTATACTTTTTAAATAAATCTAGTTTAAGTTTTAATTCCATCACCGTTCGGAAGAGCAAAATTTCCTTATGCGTTTCTTAATAAAGAGACAACTAACTTTTAATTAAGCAAAATATGGTCTTGCATGCTTGTATCATTTCATTAATAAAATAAATCTTTCGAGTTATGGTTTATGGCTTATATTTAAATAAGAGGGTAAAATTGAATATTCAATCATGATAGGTTATAAGATGATCTATTTGCTGCAATTATCTCTGATAGATCGCTTACGTAATCTAACATGATTAAGGTTTTCAATATATACTACCTATCATTTAGATTTAAGCCATATGGAATGTCCATTCTGCATAAGTTAATTTCATACAATTCAAATACATTTCCTTCGTATTCTTCTCGATTCATACCATATAAAATTCCCTTTTTAGCACACTCAAATAAGCCCACACAATCTCTTTTTAGAAGTTGGTCAACTCTAAATAAAGTCGTTAATTGAAACGCATTTTACAAACAAAATCATTCTCCTCAAAGAAACTCCTATGGTGTCGCTGATTCTAGTGACTTCCTCAAACTTGATAAATTGACCTCCATCTTGAAAGCAAAATTGCTCAGCCTCATTCAAATGACCCTATACGGATCGACCACCTCTCCCAAAAAAAATAAAATATAAACCATCTTGAAACCTCTTATGAAATTTTGACCATGTATAAATGGACGTTCGTAAGAACTACGTAGGGTTTGATCCGGGAGTGGATTCAAATCCCACAATGAACGGTACGTAGGACAACTTTAATGCTCAAACCCACCATATATTTAATTCACTTTTATTTTAAATTTGAGTGTGACTGACAATGTGGAAATTTTCATGTTTTTGTGCATTAGTTTAAGGAAAAGTATGTGAATAATCATAACTAATTAACAACGTACTAGTAAGAGCCTGTTCGTCAGAACAGAGGAAGAGACGAGTTCCAAACGTTCGATCTTCCTAACTTATACCCCGTACCTAGATCTCTAATTTTTCTAAGACCATACTTATATAGTGCCTCACCTAATGGAGTCAATGTCGTTTTCTATTTTCTATTTGAAAACGATCATAAACAAAAAGAACGTTTCTATTCGGGCAAAAATAGAGTGGCGACTCTAATTTTTTTAGTCAAATTATCGACTTATGTGGGATTTTGACTTCTAATTTTAATTAGTCAAAAAAATGGGTACCACAATACCAATAGTTAAAGTAAATTATCATGCAAATAGGCACTGGACGTCTGGACGTACATAAAAAAAAAACCTTAATAATTCTTCTCAATGGACCTAAGTTACATAGACACTTCATCGGTTCATCCGACTGTTGTGTCTGTGTCATTACTGTCATACTATTATATGGGTTGTTCAACCCTTTTTTTTTTTTTAAATAAGAACATTTTAGTAAACTAAGAAAAATAAAAAAATGTTAAATAATATGGGTGTTAATATGATATGTATGATCTAATGAAATGACGAAATGCCAAATACACACTGTATGGTTAAATTATTTTTCATTAAATATATTACTCTCTCCGTTTCCGAAAAACCGACCCTTTTGGGTTGATTTCGCGGGTATTAAGAAAGTTAAATAAAAAGAAATTAAATTATATTGGAAAATTAAATTTACATGGGGTTTATAAAAAGTAGAGAGAGAAAGTAAAAATAGTAAATGAAAAAACAAAATTTAATATGAGAAAGCTAATTTTGCACAACTTTTGTTGTAAATTGGTGGGTATTTTAATGCAAATAAGTTGATTATTTTGGGACTAAAATTAGGCCAAAAGGGTCGAACTTTTGGAACGGAGGGAATATATAAACTGTAACAAAAAAAAAGGGTGGAAGAATAATCAAAACTTATTAATTTATATTTTATATATTAAAAGGTGTTCCTTTTAAAGGAATGGTGCCACGTGACACTCTTCAAAGTATGTGTGTCTATGTCCGTCATCATCCAACATATATGCGCAACGTAAGCTAGCCACTTCATTTAACAAAACAAAATATACTTTTAACCAGATTCGAACCCATAACCCCTATATATGTAATATATATGTAATATATTTACCATCTCAACTCTCAACTAACTATTATTAATGTTTCTAGTTTTGCATAATGTTATAATATTCCTTTCATTTATTAAGTAAATTAGAGGTAATATAATTCATTTATTTTTCACAAAATTAAAATATAAATACATATGATGTAAAAATAAAAAGTGATATCTAAGACAATGCCCGAACTACTAGACACTAACTACATAAATAGTCCAACATAATTGTTAAATTAAAGCAAGAAGTACACAAGTTAGTTAGCAGCTAGGGCATCACTTGGAGTACACAATAGTTTTTTTTTAAAAAAAAACTAAAAAAAGCATACAGTGAGAAATTATCACCTTTAAAAGAGATTATAAGTTTGGACAATTAGGATTACTCGTAGAAGAAGTGAAGGAAGGGAAGAAAGATGGACAGAGAGTGGGGATCGAAGCCAGGAAGCGGTGGCGCCGCCACTTCTCAGAATGAAGCCATCGACCGTCGCGAACGTCTCCGTCGTCTCGCCCTCGAGACCATCGATCTCGCCAAAGACCCTTATTTCATGCGCAATCATCTCGGCAGGTTTCTTCTCTTCTTCCTTCTTCTTCATTACCTATTTCAAAACCTTCAAATTTCCTATTTTAATGGCGGATTCTTTGATTTTTCAACAGTTACGAGTGTAAGCTGTGTTTGACATTGCACAACAATGAGGGTAACTACTTGGCTCATACCCAAGGAAAGCGGCATCAGACTAATTTGGCTAAGAGAGCTGCGCGTGAGGCTAAGGAGGCTCCTGCTCAACCTCAGCCTAATAAACGCAAAGTTAATCTTCGTAAAACTGGTTCGTTTCTTTCTTTCTCTCTTTTCTTTTTTCTAATTTCTGTCATTTTTCCTAATTGTGGTTTTATTTGTGGACCTGATTAAATTAAGCAGATTGTTGGATTTGTCTTTTTGTAATGGTTTAGTTGTTGTTTAAGATGATTAATGGAAGATTGGTGATATATGGTGAATTGGGTAGTTGTTAATTTTGTTTAATTTTTCGGGTTGTGAAGCGAGGTTTGAAGTTTAGCTTAGAGAGTTGAATGTAATTACTTTGTAAGGGAATTTCTTCGAGGAATTTTGTTGGAGAGAAAGGATTTAGAGAAGTTTTTTAGGGTTTTTCAGGCTCTATTTTTGTTGATACTGATTTATAAGAGAAAACTTTGCTTGAACCTCTTTGAAGGAAGGGAAAGGGTTTATGTTTGGGAGGCAAGGGAAGAGTTTTCGAGGGTTTTGCTTCTGGTTGATTCTTAAAGGGATTGGGTTCACTCTTTGGTTGATGCATTTTCACATTTGTCAGGCACTCAGGCAGCATTGGGGATTGGACTTTCTTGAGTATAGTTATGGTAAAAGCATTACTAGCAACGGAGTATTATTTATCTGTGTTACTCTAACTTGTCAATGTTGGTGTCATAGCCATGTCTTACAATTGGACAAAGATAAGGGTATGGATTCCATACCCAACACTTACCTTAGTCACCTTACAATTGGACACTTGATGAGTTAATGATATACTGTAAGGCACAAGACGAGATTAATGGAAAAGTAGCAGTATAGAAGAGTGCAATCAGTTTATATGAAATAGACCTACTATTCCGGGAATGATAGAGGTCCAGGGTTGTGTTGGAATTTTATATTCATGTATCTACACAGATTTAGTAAAAAAAAAAAGAAAGTCAGCGTCCATGTTTTGGGTTCCAAACTCATAATATTATCAGCTCCATGTTTTTATATATTTTAAGAAATGGAAATGCTTTTAAAATCCTTTTAGATATTATCTTACTGCAGTAGTACTTGCTTTCTTGCTGAAAAGAACACCTGTGTTGTGTCCTAAGCAATATCTTGAGGAAGTTTTGTCTACTTGATTGCTCAGATATGTATTGGACATTCATATCCATGTCTTAAGCAACATATGTTTTCATGATATATGGGTGGTCCTTTTCAACCCTATCTGTTCATTTTATCTTCAGTAATAAGTACCCAAACCCATGTTTGTAGTCTCTCAATACTTTATCCCCTATAATTCTTTAGCCTCGCTTGAAATTCTAGGAAAAGTAAACCCCGGCTATTCTCTTCATGGTGGTGGTCTAATGAGTGAAACACATGGAAATACACAGTGGAATAAATCTACTCTATGAGAATATTAATTGGGGAAATTGATTTGGCCAAAGGGGCAAAGATTCATCATAGGAATACCTTTTTTTGAAAAGTTTATTAAGGAAACGGAGAACAAGAAGTCAACAATATGAGAGTAGTTTTCTTAGCTTCTAGTTTTGTTGTGGTTGGATAATCCTCCTTATCTATTGCCTCTGATGTAGTTCTTAATATTTACTATTTGTACACAAATTTAGGCAGTTGGAGATTTAGAGAGAGAGAGAGAGAGAGAGTGTTGATGTGGTAAATGGGTAGGTGCTGGATTATAAAGTTAAAGATTGGAAAAAAAAAAATCAAAGAGGAAAAAGTTGGGGACCGAAGGTTAATTAAATTTTAAAGATCAAAGACTTGATATGTGAGAAAAGAGGGAGGTGGCATTGGGCAGAAAGTACCAAGTGGAGAAAAGTAGACCTATTAGACTAAAAATTTAGTAGCAGGTAGGATTTGGATCAGACCAAGACAGGGGCT